GTCAGGCGACTCAGAGGGCTGGGGGGGGGGCTGGGGGCAGAAAGAGGCACTTAGAGAGATTGCGGGCAGCTATATTTACAGAAATCCCTATATGAATAGTGATAATATATATCTAGATGGATGTCTATATATCTATATTTAAAGGCAGAAGGTTGCACAGGCTGAGAATGTGAGGGGGTTGAGGGGAGGGGCGCAACGCTCCCCTCCAGCCAGGGCACAGCTTGGTGATCTCTTGGCCCCGGGTTCAAGAGACCCTGGCAGGGACGGCTGAACCCCTCCGGTTTCCTTCCGACTCCTCGGATGCTTTGGGGCACGTTTGCAGTATGAATGTAAGCCAGTTGGGTTCCCGGGTTCCTCCTTGTAAATCTGTGAAGTGGGGGGGGGGGCAGTTCGGCGTGGTGGTTCAGGTGCTGGCGAGTTCTAGTTCTGTCTTAGCCACGAAAGCCGCCTGGGTGAATTTGGGCTAATCACCAGGTGCTGGCGAGTTCTAGTTCTGTCTTAGCCACGAAAGCCGCCTGGGTGGCTCTGAGCCAGACACCAGGAGGCTGGGAGTTCAGGCCCCACTTGAGGCCCAACCCACCTCGCAGGGCTGTTGTTGGGAAAAGCGGATGAGTTACTTATAAATCAATAGTTGTCATCCGATGTGCCAGGCGGAAGCCTCCGGGATGCTCTGGGACTTGAAACCCTTCTCAGCCAACTGGGGAGGAAGACCCAGACTCCCCCCACCGAGTGAAGGGCAGAGTTGGGGGCCAGGCTGCACTGTTGGGACCTCCGCCCAGGGGATGGGGGGCGGGGCACAAGGCCGGCCGGCTGCCTCTTTTCCACAGAGGCTGGCAAAGCAAAGAAGCCTGACCCCCCCCTCTCTTTCCCCAGGCCCCCAGCCACACTTACAGCGGCCACAGCAGCCACGTCACCAACATCGCCTTCCTCCACGACGACAGCCTGCTGCTCTCCACCGGTGGGGTGGACACCAGTGTCCTCCAGTGGCGCCTTGTGTAGTGGGGGGGGGGGAGGCGGCCAGCGGGGCTGCCTCGGTGGTGG